CTGCATTACTCTATCTTGTTCCTTGTACACTAGGTAAGTGTGTGCTTTCAGCTGGTTCTGTCTTGTGGCTTAAGTAATGAAAGAAATCCTTTCTGCTTTGCAAATTGTTGAGCCCATGTTTGTATCAGGTCTTACCGTCGTATTGGGTCTGGTGAGAGGAGAGTTGAAGGACCTCTGGAGTTATGGCGCGGAATCGAAGTCAGAAAGCAATCCTTCAGAAGCTTGAATTACTGAGTTAATATCTGTAATATCGTGTGGTGTAAGGTTGGTTTAATATGGTTATGGAGGTTTTTGTATCATATTAAATTGCTGGGGAAGGATGCGGCCAAATGTAAGTTGCCAAATCCATTTATTCTTCTGTTGCATTCCGTCTTTTGTTGTATCTATTATCTGAAACACTTAATAGAGAGTTTACAAGAGGCATTTAAATAGTTTCTTGTTTAGAGGTTAGCTTTAATTTCCCTTATTCCCAGTAAATATTATCAAAAGGCTAATGCTGTTGTAGAAATAACATCTGTATTTCCATAATCCATTTATTATTATGATTGTTTAATGAATGAATTAAGAAATTTATTAAATGACGTTCTGGAAATATAAGATTTTAATGTTTTATACTATCAATTGACAACAGCTTTTGAAAAAACCCTGGCCAGAAGAGGATCTAATGGGTTTGAGAGAGAACTCTTCTCTTCTCTTACAGTTCCCTGAAAATGAACAGCAATAAACAACTCTCTAAAGAGTTTCCGTCCAGTCTTTATTCTATGTAAATAAGATCAAAGGGAAAGGAACAAAAAAAGTAGCATAACGGAGAGTGGCAAGAAGTAGACGGAAGCACAGAAGGTTTCGATATAGTTACAAATTCTGATCAACTAAAACTACTTGTCGGACTTTACAGATTATTGTAGGACTTTTGTTTTGGATTCGAGTTAAATCAGTACCCACAATCGTTTACTCAAACGCACTTATATTAATTATGGATTGGTTATAAGCTAATGAGTTGGGATTGATAGGAGCAAAGCGAGTTTACATGAAACTCCAACTTGGAATTATTAATTTTATCAACGTTTTAATTAGTGTTTTGATCTTTCAGATTGGACAGTGTAGGGTACTACCTTCACGGGCTTCCCTCGTCCAATCACTCAGCTGTCTTATATCATCGAGCCACTGCCATTTGATATCAGAACCTTGAGTTACACGATGAGAACGTACACGTACACACAAACACAAACACGCCTCCGTGTTTTAATAGTTAAGATATTTATATTTTATATTAAAATTGCAGAATTTAAATTGTTACTTTATAAATGTATTCTCGATTGATATTTATAATCGTTCGCTAATAAATTTATTATATTTTTAATAAAATAAATCTTTTAAGATAGTTAGTTTTTAGATAAAAAAACTGAACCTAGCATTTTAATACTTAAAAAATAAAAAGATACAGGAAGAAATTAATTTAATTTTGTTTATTTATTATTGAGGGTGGATGGAATGATATGTTTAACACGCCAAGAGGAAATACATTCATTATTATAAGTAAACAGAAACCAACCAAAAAAACTGAAGAAAATTAAACTAAAAAGAGAAGCCAAACTACTAGTACATGCCAGCCATAATCTTCTTCAATACTCAGTGATTGAAACCAACCTAATTAAGTCCAAGTATCTAGCAATTGGGAGCAGGAAGCTTGCACTTGGCAGGAAGTTGCAAGGCAAGCTTCGGATCGACACCAAAAGAAGGCAAGAAGCTGGAGTTCTTGTAGGAGCAAAGACACTGCATGTTGGCATGCGACAGAGCTCTGCAGCAGTCGGCAGTCGGCGGTGTAGGTCTCGGTGGAGTCACCGATGGCCGGCAAGCCATCAAACCGGAGAGCGGAATGTTACAGATCGTTTGAGCATTGCATGGCTCAAACACTCTTATAGCCATCACCATAACCACCACAACCAAAATTAGCTTCTGCATCTTGATCTCCAAATACTGATCTGATCTTTCGGAGGGGGAGATGGGTATTATTGTCTGTAGGTTATAGATTGTTGGGTTTGTATATTTATAGAGAGAAATTGAATGGTACGGGTCTGTGGAGGAGTACTGTCATGCTGGCACTAATTGACGTTTCATACTATAGGGTCACAAGCAGGAAACTGTGCGGTTCATAATAACAACTTTAATTCTCTTGTCTTTATTTTTTTTCTTCCAATTGGGGCCAGACCCAGATGACTATTGCATTAACATCAGTCGCCTAACACCTTATTCACGTCGTGCAAGTCTAGAACAGTCAATTAATGGCAAGCCCTTCTGTTCAACTTTTAATGCTGTTTTGATGTTCTTCTAACAGGAAATATTTATGACTCGTAGTTAATTTTCTATCAACGGAAACAGGCAGGAAGCTGGATGTCATATCTGCCGTGACTAAATTGGAATTTGATTTCCAAGTTTTTAGATAGAATTTTAGTTGACTTGGAATTTGAACAAGGAGTTTTAGTTGGAATTTTATTACACCATCTTTTGTTTTCTAGAGGGGTTTTTAGGTGTGCATTTGAATTTTATAAGTATTATATTGAAAAGAAATACGAAATCTTTTTATACGTACGTACTTCATAGTTACATAATTAAAAAAATTTAAAATTTTAACCGAAAAAATAAAGCTCGAGGTCACCATGTTCAAGTCATTCAAGGAAAATACTTTTACATTGGTTTATTAGTTTTCTTACTGCAAAAATGAGAGAGTATTTTAAGATATTTGAACTCTTTCAAGTACAAAATAATCTCCATGCCACCATCATGTGTCTTGGGAGCTGAGCATTAAAGTGATGGAACGTAATAGAAACTTGATATAAGGATATGGGGACAGGGCAAATTGAGAGCAGAATTATATATATGAAGAAAATTATATAACGAACAGCATAGGATGTGGGATGGGATACCCACTCAATAATTTCTTGAAGGCTAAGCATCACATACTTTCTTTTTGCTTTCTTTTTCCCCCCCTTTTTTTTTTGGGGGAGCAGATGTCAGATTTATCTCTTCCATAATTGCATTAATTTCGGAAACCATGCAATTTCATCTCTCAGAATTTAATTTCTATGACAGCTATGTATGATACAATATTATATTTGCATTAATAATTAGGTAACAAATTTAATAAACATGAATTTTATTGAATTATTGCTAAACATTAGCTTTATTTATGTAAAAGATTACAGAATGAAAACTAACTTGTTTCAAAAATCTTCAAGAAACAAAAAGTTAAAGATGAAACAACAATTTTTTTTTTTTAAAAAAAAAAATCACTAATCTCTTATAAGGAGAAAAGAAAATTACAACATTTTTTTTAAAAAAAAAAAAAAAAAGATAAAAGTTCAAAGCTTTGTTAGATAAGTTCTTACAGTATCTCTCAAAAGATTAAGACTTTTCTTTTTCAAAAACTTGTAACACTTTTCTGGTGTTTATATTTCAAAAATCCGCCCCTCCTCCTCCTCTCCTACTCAACCAGGGCGGTGGAAAATTGTTTCCATAATCTCTCTACGTATCTGCTTCTAGCTTCACTTCTTGAAGCTTGGTGTAAATCATGGGTGGCGGATTTACCTTTCAAAAAATTTTAAACAAATATTTGGTGAATAAAATATAAACAAACTATATTCTATGTCTTAAGAGATTAATGTAATTGTTTTAATGAATTTGTACTGAAATTATGAATAAAGAGAAAAGAAAACAGCTTGGTAGACAAGTTTGGGTCTATAATTGATTTAATGGTCCCTTTGTTGTCTCTTTTTCTTTTTCTTTCTTTGGTCGTGCTTTTTGTTGGGTTTGGCTTTTATTATGAAGTTTCAAATATCTGTGAAGCAAGAATACTTTTATTAAAAAATGGTTAAATATTTAACAAGAATAATTATAGAAAATATTATTATCTCAAAAAGTAGAAGTTGAGTGTTTGTTATAATAATTGTTTAACACTAAAATTATTAGTAAGGGTATAACAAGAGAATAAGTGACAACACAAACTTAGTGTTTGGTATATTAATACATATATAAAATATAACATACACTGTGTATGTGTATTATATATGCAGTAAAAAGAAAATTTGAATTTGACGAAGTGAAAAAAAAAGAAAACAAAACGAGGTGGTGTAATTTTTAAAATTAATCAAGAGCAATTTTAGATGACTAAAATCAATTTTTCAACATATTTAGATCTCTCAAATTTAGATGAGTTTTACGAATTTTATTGAAAAGCACTTAACCGCGAATATCCTGGAAAGGAATAAGATACCTACTATCAAATACAATTGCTTTAGCAATAAATGCCTTGTGTAACATATTACCCAAATCGAGTTTGGATTGCTTTCAGTTATATTTCATATTTGAAATTCCTTACTGTACCTTTTCATTTCTTTCCAAATAATGTTGTTGAGGACGATCCGGGCAAGAGAAAGGATGAATTCCTGCATGACAGACAGAGAAGCTACAACCATACAAAAAAAAAAAATGAAACATGATTTTTTGTATTGAAACAAGAAAGAAACATGATGAAAGAGATTCAGGCGACAAACCAATCTTAGAAACACCAGATTTCCCAATCCGCATCGTATAAAGAATTGATGTAACTGTTATACAACCGGCAGCAAGCTACCTTAAAGAAACCTCATATTGAACCCAAAACTCCAAGGCCAATGCTCCAAGACATTCGCAACTATACTCAAAAAATAAGAGGGCAAAAAAAATGAGACCTACCCTTTACCAAAAATTACAGCCATCCACCACTCAACTAAAATACTTGTTCAGAGAAGACTACCAGACATTCTTACAAAATATATGCACCAAACCCTCCCTCCTCTCACAGCCATGAAATATACCCAACCGTTCCTTGATCAATATATATAACCCATCATGGGAAATTGAATTTCCAATCCAAAGGAAATATTTAGACTAAACAGAAGATTCAGACTGAAGCAGATAAGGAAAAAAACAAAAATAAATATTGGTAGAGACAGGCATCTTTTCCTCTACGATAGCCTACTCACCAAAGATGAATAACCCTAACTGCGACCCACACCACGGCTGCAGCTCCATCGCTCTCTAATCCCACATTCTGCTTATTTAGCAACTGGGAAATCCAGAAAGCTCAAGCACTCAGCTCTTACGAGAAAAGCCTTCAGGCTCATTGACCATCACAATATAGAAGCAACCAAATGCTTTACTGGAAATGCAACTGACTCCTGGTTTTTTTAAAACCAATACTAAATTGAACAGCAAAGAACTGGGTGCAAGCCAAAATCTCGAGCCACATGGTTCTCAAAACTGAAGTCATGAAGCAGTAGCAGCTGATGACTTCTCCAGTTTTTCTTTCTCAATGTCTATTCTTCTCTGCTCTGCATGCTGCGCGACACCATTTGCAAGAGCCTGGTAATGGAAGTCTAGTGTCTGAGTTAGGTTCTGAAACCGCAGAGCATCTGACACTTGCATTGCTTTTCTCAATCATAGGGAAAAAAAACAC